ATAAAGAAACTCTAGGGAGAGCTAGCACGGCGTTGTCTGACCATCAGGCAGAGTGTTTTTCTGCCCATTTCACAGACAGGGAAAACTGAGTCTTTCTCCAGAAGCCGATTCCTGGCAGAGGAGGGAGTAAGCCAAATCTTCTGGTAGCCAAGATCAACTTTTAAGCACTTTCCTCTCCCCGCCAAAAATCAAAATCAGAAATAAATAATACGTACTTGGCGTAAGCTTTTTCAAGCAGGGCGCTCCAGAATTCGTTCCCTTCAGCAGAGTGGACAAACACCAGCTTCCCGTCTTTTGTCGGGAGCAAATCGTCCACCACCACGTCGATCCATTCGCCGAACTGCCAAATCTGTTTTCAAGGAGCAGAAGACAAAAAAGAAGTCAAGAATCCTAAATTTATGGTCTGCCATATTCAGTGGCTTCTATACAAAGAGTCCTCAACTGACAGTTGTTCGTTTAGTGACCGTTCAAAGTTACAACAACACTAAAAAAACGTGATTTAGGACCATTTTCCACACTTAGGACCGTGGCAGCATCCTCAGGGTCACGTGATCAAAATTGAGACGCTCGGCAACCGACTCATATTTATGACGGTCGCACTGTCCCGGAGTCACATGACTCCCCTTTTGCGACCTTTGGACAAGCAAAGTCAATGGGGGAAGCCGGATTCACTTAACAACCGGGTTACTAACTTAATGACTACAGTGATCCGCTTAACAACGGTGGCCAGAAAGGTCGTAAAATGGGGCAAAACTCAATTAAGAAATGTCTCACTTAAGAACAGAAAGTTTGGCCTCTGTTGTGGTCGTAAGCTGAGGACTGCCTGTATTAAGGAAAGTCGTGATAAGAAATCACAATTGTGCAACCACGCTAAGTCAATTATCTCGGCCTTTTTAAGTACCTTCAGTCAACATAGGTAGTCTTTGATTTACAACCAAAATTGAGCTCAAAATTTCCATTGTCAAGTAAGACAGTTGTTAAGTGAGTTATGTGATATATAAGTCTAAGTGCTATTGCTATCTTCCTTCCTTCCTTCCTTCCTTTTAATTTCTCACTTTTTATATCTATGTATTTAGGCCCTTCCTTCCTTCCTTCCTTCCTTCTTATTGGATAAAATGCAGTATTGCAGGCTTACTCTGCCCACAACCAGGAATTCGATCCTGACTGGCTCAACGTTGACTCAGCCTTCCATCCTTCCGAGGTGGGTAAAATGAGGACCCAGTTTGTTGGGGGCAACAGGCTGACTCTATAAACTGCTTAGAGAGGGCTGTGAAGCACTATGAAGTGGTATATAAGTCTTAACTGCTATTGCCCTTTCTTTTTCCTTCCTTCCTTCCTTCCTTCCTTCCTTCCTTCCTTCCTTCCTTCTTTCCTTCCTTCCTTCCTTCCTTCCTTCCTTCCTTCCTTCCTTCCTTCCTTCCTTCCCACTGGATAGAATGCAATATTGCAGACTAACTCTGCCCACAGCCAGGAATTCAATCCTGACCGGCTCCAGGTTGACTCAGCCTTCCGTCCTTCCGAGGTCAGTAAAAGGAGGACTCAGATTGTCGGGGGCAACAGGCTGACTCTGTCAACCGCTTAGAGAGGGCTGGAAAGCACTGTGAAGCGGCATATAAGTCTACGTGCTCTTGCTCTAGCTCCAGGATGCCCTTCTTCTCTGGACTACCTTGCAGGGCTAACACCTTGCTTGTATTTCAAAAATAAGGAGGAAAGGAATCCATGGGCCCTGGACCAAGGACTGGAGAAGTATTTACCTGGAAGTGGAAGATTCCAGCATATCCATTCTGGAAGCATTGTCCATGGGGGACCACGCGATGGAGAAGGGGGTCGTTCAGCGTGAGCGATGCAATGGCAGCCAACAGCCAACAGTCCCCTAGAGAGAGCGATTCCAGAAAATTCAGCCTACCACGCAGAAAGAGGCCACAAAAATTAGAACGTAGGGTTGGAAGGGACCTTGCGAGGTCTTGTAGTCCACCCCGCTGCTCCAGCAGGAGACCCTACACCATTTCGGACAATAGCTGTACCGTCTCTTCTGTCCAGTGATGGAGGACCCACAACTTCGGAAGGTAAGCTGTTCCACTGATTAAACCCCCCCCCCAAAAACCCCCACCTTTTTTCAATTTTTTTTAATCCTCTTTTTTCTTAGGTATCTATCATGTACAGGCAGTCCTCAACTTAAGACCATAACTGAGCCTGGAAGGACAGTTGTGCTGGTTGTTGACTCGATTTTACGACATTTTGTGTGGCCGTCCTTCCGTGAAACCCGCAATGGACTTCCCCCCCCCCGAAACCAAAAATAAACATCGGTTTCCAGAAAAGAGAAAGAAAGGAAAAAAAACCCAAAACATTTACAGCCATTCGCAGCGTCCTGCAGTCCCATAATCACAATTTACAAGGTTGGTTGTTGTTTTTTTTAGATGATCCATTTGTTTAATGACTGCAGTATTCGCTTAACCGTCGCGGCAAAAATGGCCACGAAATTTGGAGGCGGTTCTGTGGCAACCCGCTTAATGACAGGCACACGACGTAGGACTCTAATTCTGGTGGTTAAGTTGAGGTTGATCTTTACTCTAAACGTGGGAAACTAAGATAGACTCGGACAGCTACAAAGGCCTAATTTTTCTATACAGAAGATCGCAAGATGAATTCTTGACAGCTCCAGACAGGACTGGATAAACTAAAAAAACAAAACAAAACAAAAAAAACCCACAGGGCTTCTATCGATCTGTGTCAAAAATCCTGAGCTGCAAAAATGTGCCTTGTTCGCTTAGTTGTTACTGGTGTAACTAGATTCACGCACCTTGAACAGTTCAAAAGGCTGTGCTGTGTGAAAACCCGCAGGCCGGCTGTGGCTTATGGGACCAGCTAGGCTTAAGCCAGGGCGGGCTTCGTGCAAGACGCATCATTCAATCGGTTTGCAATTTTGCAGGGCCACGATGGGCAGGGAGGGACTTACAAAGGGGTGGTAGAGATGCCAAGCACTGTCTGGAGTTACTACAAGTTGCAACCTGTTTCTTAGCCCCAAAGCTGGCTTTGAGCCACAGGGATGGAGGGGTGTGGTAGTTCCCTGCAGGCGCTGATCAGATAACTGACAGAGGGGTGTGGAAGCAACCAGAGGGAAGAGCAGAAATAATTTCCTGTAACTGCTGGGGCAAGAAGCAATGGGTGGAAGCTGCTCAGAGGGAGAGCCAACCTGGAACTAAGGAGGAATTTCCCGACAGCGAGAAAAATTAACCCGTGGAACTGCCTGCCTCCAGAAGTCGTGGGTGCTCCAATACCGTAGGTTTTCAAGGAGAGACGGGGCAGCCCTTTGACTTGGATGGTATGCAGAAGAACAGAGCTGGAAGGGACCCTGGAGATCTTCTAGTCCAACCCCCTGCTCAAGCAGGAGACCTTATTGGTTGTCCAATCACTTCTTGAAAGGACTGAGCAGGGGGTTGGACTAGATGACCTCCAAGATCCCTTCCAACTTTACTATTATTACTATTACTATTATTATTATTATTAAAAGAAGGAGAATATATTTGCACCTTGCGTCATTTGTAAAAATAAATGAAGGCAGGAAGGGGAAAAAAAACCTTAAATCTTAAGCTTTTCCGCTCCCGTCAGATTGGAAAAAAAGACCCAAAGGGGCCCAGGGATGTGGAAGCCCATGTGGCTGCAGCTCTCACCACTCACCCAGAGCTCCCTGACAAACATCGGTCCGCGTGGCACCGTCTATGATGAAAAGGGGGTTGCGGCACATTTCCTGAAAGATTCAAAGAGACAAAGGCGCGTTAAATGGCAGAAGAACTTGAGAACGCTGGCAGGATGTGAAGCCCCAAAGGGGGTCAGCTAGATGCCCTCAGGGAGACCCCCTAAGCCTTTCCCCTGAAACCAGCACCGACCGTCAACAGCCAGCCACCCACCAGGTAAGGGTGATCTTACCTGAACCTGTCTAGCCACTTTTCAAACTATAGATCGGGGGTCTTCCAACCTGGCCCCTTTTTATGACTTGTGGACTTCGACTCCCAGAATCCCTCAGCCAGGCCCGAGGAATTCTGGGAGTTGAAGTCCACGAGTCATAAAAGGGCCAAGTTTGAAGGCCCCTGCTGTAGATAGTCCCTGACCTATAACCCGTTCGTTTCATGACTGAAGTTACAACGGCTTTGGAAAATTAAATCAAATTAAAATTACAAATCCCTCGTGGACACGTGATCGCCGTTGGGATGCTGGTCAACCCGCTCGGATTTATGACAGTTGCACCGTTTTTGCAATCACGTGATCGTCTTTTCAGACCTCGAGAGCACCCAGGACCCCTCAAAAGAAAAAGACTTAGTTGTGGTTTTTTTTAAAGTGAATTTCTGCACCCTAAAAAAATCTCCCTCGGGCAGGTCTTCGCGACTCACTGTTGGGCGTTTCCACTTGACCCCGTAGGTCTTCGAAGAACTTGGCCCCAGTTCTTTGAAACCCAGCGAAGAGGCCGTAGCCGGGAAGGTTTCGTCCCTGAACAGACTCCCATTCTGCAGACATTCGTTGCGGAGCATCTCAAAATCCTGAGCCAAGTACTTGACTGCATTCTCATGTTTTCCCAAACCCAGGTCTTTGGCCCGTTGCTTCTGGACTTGCGCCGAGACGCCGGTGCAATAAATCGGAACAATGAACTCTTCTGACATGTTGGTTGATTATCCAAGCAATCAAATTCCCTGAAACAGATAAAAGAGAGCTTAAAAGTAGATACTACGATTAGCCGGTAGGAAAACTGTCGACTGCTGTATGTTCAAGTCTCTAGTCCTCATGGTTCCCGGAAAGAAACTGAAAGCATAATTGCAAGGAATATCCAAAATAAAGACAGGGAGTTTTATTAAGTCACGGACAAATCACACACACATACACAAAATGACAGAATTTAGATGGGATATTATATTATTGTTTAGATGTTTGAATATGATAGAGAATAGATAATTGTTAGAAATAGAAATATTATCCTAACTAGAAAGACAAGATCGGTAATTAGAACATTAGATTTCTGTACGAGAAGGGGAAACAGGAAAAGTTTGAATAAGGGAAGCTTTTGGTTACCCAAATATAACTTACTTTGAAATGATAAACAAAAGAGATGTTTTGAACATCGAGGGGAAATTAATTTTTTTTTTAAAAAAAGCAAAAACAGGATCCTGATTGAATATATGGATATTAAGTGCAATTAAGATATGTTTTGGCTAGGAAAGATATCTTAAACTGACATTATTGATATTATTAGAAAAACGTAACGAAGAGGTTGATATCCAATTGTCTATCTATTAATAATAAGAATTGTTTTTGCCTAATGTGGGAAAACAGATTATCACGAGAAGAAGAGAGGAAACATTAGAGGGTGTAATATTGGATCTAGACCAAAGAATATATACCACTGAATTACTAATGGACCCAGACACCACGTGGTTTATTAAGTATTTGATTGTAAAATTAGAAAATTAATAACATATTTATACAAAAATGACAGAATTTATTATAGTCTCAGATCAGAACTGAAAAGAAAAAAATACGGGCAGTCCTTGACTTACAACCACAATTGGGATCAGAATTTCGGTCGCTAAGTGATGCAATTGGTAACCATGATTGGGAGTTGGATTGGAGATAGAGCCATCATGTGATCAGAGTTGATTTTATGACCATTTTTACCGTGGTTGTTAAGCAAATCGCAGGGTGGTTAAGAGTGAACACATGGTTGTTAAATGAACTTCAGCACTGTAGAGTGTTAACATTTATCCGAAATGGTATATAGCGTTTCCTGCCTGAGCGGGGGGTTGGACTAGATGACCTCCAAGGTCCCTTCCAACTTTATTATTATTATTATTATTATTATTATTATTATTATTGCATGATTTATTTTTGGGTCAACGAAGCTATTTAGAGTTCAAACAAGCTATGACTTGATGTGTCTATACCCCATTGTGGAACCCTAGCCTGCTGTTGCTCAATAGGCCGCCATGACTTGACTCAGCCACAAACCGTGGTTTATAAAGCAGGTTTGCACTAAAGTTGCTTGGCAGTGGCTAAGCATGCCGGAAAGCTGGCCACAGGGTGAAAACCTGCCAAGCATGAAGATAAAAAGATTAAATTAAGAGTTGGCATGGCGACTGCCGTTGTATTAAACGTGTCTCCGTGTTTAGTGAAGGGAACATCTGTTTTATATAAGGAATGTCCTCCAAAATCCCGGAACTCTCCCTAGAAAAATATAAACTTCAGCAAGATAACTCTTGCACAAGTCAAAGCCCTTAAGGAATGTAACTGCTGAATTTAGGTCATTCCAAAGAGTCCCCCCCCCTTTTCTTCATACGTGAAGGAAACAAGCAGATGTTACCAGAATGAAGGGGGGGGGGAATAGCCTAATCTTGCAGTGGTGGGCAAAGAAATGAATTTCCTTCCTTCCTTTCAAGTTTCTGGCCCTCATGATTACAAAGAAGGGGCCCTTTCTTTCTTTCTTTCTCTTTTTCTTTTTTTCTTTCTTTCTTTCTTTCTCTCTCTCTCTCTTTTGCCTTTCTTTCTCTTCTTTCTCGTCTTTTTTTTTCTTTCTTTCTTTCTTCTCTTTCTCTCGCCTTTCTTTCCTTTTCTTTCTCTTTTTCTTTCTTGCCTTTCTTTTGTTCTCTAGCTTTTCTTTCTTTCTTTCTCTCGCCTTTCTTTCCTTCTTTTCTCTTCTTTCTTTCTTTCTTTCTTTCTCATCTTTCTTCTTTTTCTCTCTCACCTCTTTCTTTCTTTCTTTCTTTCTTTCTTTCTTTCTTTCTTTCTTTCTTTCTTTCTTTCTTTCTTTCTTTCTCTTAATTGCCCATTGCCCTCAGAGAGGAACTCAGGGCTGGATACAGTATAATCAATAGACGGGTAGTCCTCAACTTACAACAGTTCATTTAGCGACCATTCAAAGCTACAGCAGTTTGTTAAGTGAGAGGCTCGTTAAGTGAGTTTTGCCCCATTTTGTGACTGTTCTCGCCACTGCAGTTGTTAAATAAGTAGCACGGTTGTTAAATGAACTTGGCTTCCCCACCGACTTTGCTTCTTGTCACCCGGGACACTGCAGCCGTCATAATTCTGATGACATGATCACGAGGATGCTGCAATTCATGATCATGAATTCTGATGACATGATCACGAGGATGCTGCAATGGTCATCAATGTGAAAAATGTTCATCTGTCACTTGTTCGGTGCCGTTGCAACTTTGAACGGTCACTAAACAAACTGTTGTAAGTCGAGGAATTAACTTGGATCCAGAGTCTTTCTTTCATTGACATATTCTTTTTTCCTTTCCCCAAGCATGAAAAAGCGAGATGATTTTGCTTCCTCTTTCTGCTGACACACCTCAATTTAATTATATGGGTCAACGCTGCTATCATCGGATGTTTTTGCTTTGACAACAGTTGGAGATGCAACCATTTTCTACCCATGTTTTATTCTTAGAGTAAGAATTAGAGTTAGATGACCGCTGGGGGAAGGAACGTGCATGAGAGTTTAGCTGGACACAACAATACTGGACCTAGTGTGGGAACCAAGGTTATTGAAATAAGAGATGATAAGAATTGGCCCCGGGATGGAGAACTGGAGGGAAAGCCTGCATTTCAAACTAATTGGAGAAGGTGATTTATGACGGTTAATTGGAGGAGGGAATTGTGCTTTGATACTATGTGCTCAGGGGAGGGGAATCCAGTTTTTGGCTCCTCTAATAAAGATTCTTTAAGGTAAACCATGCCTGGAAGTTCTTGGAAGAGTTTCTTCTGTCGGAACCACGACAAAATGATTCGGTAAATTTGCATTTACGGTCTGGAAGGAAGCAGGAAACTCACAATATTTTTGAACACTTGCTGTGCAGGAAGAAGATTGCCGACTGAATGACAGGCTGTCCTCACTCAACGACCAGTCACTTAGCAACTATTCGAAGTTACGACAGCCCCCCCAAAAGGTACTTACGACCCAATTTTGAAATCCCAATGACTGCGACTTCTGTGGTCACATGATCACGTTTTGGGTTCCCGACAATTAGCTTGCATTTTGGGTCATTTGCAGCATCTCATAGTCACGTGGCTGCAATTTGTTTGGCCTTTTTTCTTCTTCTCTCGTTTCTGACCCACACCCTGTCCTCACATTTACAACTGTTGCAGGATCCTCAAAGCCGCACAATCCACCTTTGGGTGCTTGACAACCGACGTGTATTTGTGACTTGTTGCAGTGTCCTGGGGTCGCGTGATCACCCTCTGTGGCTTTCCCAGCTGGCTTCCAACAAGTCAAGCCGATGGGAAAAGCTGGATTTGCTTAACGACCAAGTGATTCACTTAACAATCGTGGCAGAAATCAGGGCGGTAAAATAGCCCGTGATTCAGTGACTGCCTCACTTAGCGACAGAAATTCGCTCCCAATTGTGGTTGTCCGTTGAGGACAAGTTGTATTTTTATTCCTTCCAAGGCCTGGCATGTAATTTGTCTTTTCCACGCCCCAAAGTTCCCGAGCTGGCAATTGTTTCGTGATCCCTGAGGCAAATGGCTGCTTTCAGTTTTGAAATGCACTTGGACTACTTCAACTTCCTGGAAAGTTTTTCTACTCTGAGCAAGGCTGGAGGCTCAAAACACCCAGATTTGATTTCTCCACCTGGAAGATCCAGGATGGGGCAACTATTTACTCCCCGTTTAAACCTCCTGCAGGTTTCCACATCAAAAGGCATCGCATCCTCGTCTGGGAGAAACGAATACATCAACGCAACCAAATTAAGACCCCTGCGTTTCCAGAAACAGCTGTAAAAATGATTGCTTCAAAGTCTGGAGAACAGGTAGCCAATATTTGCACCACACTCTACCACAGTAGAACGATCCGACGATCTTCGGATTTAAAGCATCAACTTCATGAGGACTAGAATCTTCCTTGGATTATCGTTTATAGCAGGCAGGCCACTAATACAGACTCTGCTTTGCATCCAGAAGGCCTAAAGTTAATTCCAGAACTTCCAAAGAGTCCAGAAACTTGCCGATAAAATTTTGAAAAGTCGTGTCTATAAAAACCTGGCTGGGATGCCCGACAGGGTGACTCAGTCGGCAGAAATTTATATTCCTTTTTATTTGCCTATGAAATATGCATGCCACATACAAACAGCATATATGTATTTTTACGACTCAGAAACAATGCCCCCCCGCCCAAATCCAACACAAAGCAGTGGCAAAGGAGCCCAGTGCCTCCAATGCATTGACTACAACACCTATTCGACCTAGCCAAGAGATTGAGGGAATTGTAGTCCAGATGTAGGCCCAACAGACTGGGGGGAAACTCACAAACACTTGGCACAACCCTTATTTTTCTGCAACACAAATAACCAGGCTGTTCAGTGGCTTCCACCCAACTGAAGAAAGTTGCCCTCTAGGAGAACTCCTACCTCTCTGCCCATGCTCAGAAGTACCCTTTTTTTTTGCATTAAAGCCACATAGGGCCAGAGAGAGAAAGAGAGAGAGAGAAAGAGAGAAAGCAAACTTGACCACTTTCGCTGCTCTTCCTTAAGTGGGCGCGCTTGCTTTCCCCAAATAACAAATTTAATAATAGTTTTTAATTAAAGAAAGAACAGAGCCGGCCAAGTTGGATCTCTCCAGGAAGAGCGGGTTGTGTAATAGGCAGACACTGAGAGTATTTTTTTTTTGCCCCCAAAAGGCCAATCCCAGCCAGATCCCAAACTCCAGGATTTTCCCTCTCCAATCTCGCCTCCCGAAGCCAACCCGCGAAGTATTTACCTGCGCCCGGAGCGTCCCCTCGGCCTAGGACGGAGTAAAAAGGCCCCGATCTTTACACTGGAGGAGGGTAAGGGAAGGTGGTTTTTTTTTTTTCGGCGCAGGAGCGTCGCTCGGGCACCCCCTTCGCCGCCCGTCCCCGCCCGTTCGTGGCTGAGCAACTCCTCCCTCGCTGGGCGTTCGCCAAGGGGAAGCCGCCGGAGCAGGGCGCGGCGAGGAAGCCTTGCGCAAAAACGCACGGGCCGGGGAGGCCGGTTGGAGACGGAAGCG